GCCGCCTGTCGTCTAGACTACGCCGCTAGCCTTGTTACTGAGTCTGAGTCTGTCTGTCCTCCGTCCGTCGGGGGTGAGTGTGCTCTTGGCACGGACGTCCTTGAGGACAGACAGGAGGAGTTTGAGTGCTTTGCTGCTGCTTTACCTCATCTCGTGTCCATGCTGATTGCCCCTGAGGGAGACCCGGATGCACCAGACATCCCGACCCCACGCTCTTACGCAGAGGCGATGGAGGGTCTCTACTCCTCTCAGTGGCAGACAGCCATGGACGCAGAGATGGCTTCCTGGAAGTCCACAGGCACCTACGTCGACGAGGTTCCCCCACCTGGGGCGAACATCATCAGTGGCATGTGGATTTTCAGGGTGAAGCGGCCGCCGGGTTCTCCGCCTGTCTTCAAGGCGCGTTACGTTGCACGAGGCTTCAGTCAGCGAGAGGGAGTTGACTTCTTCCAGACCTTCTCCCCGACCCCGAAGATGACCACTCTTCGGGTTCTGCTGCACGTCGCTGCTCAGCGTGACTACGAGCTCCACTCTCTTGACTTCAGCACTGCGTTCCTACAGGGCAGCCTGCACGAGGAGATCTGGCTGCGCCGCCCACCTGGCTTCACTGGGTCGTTCCCTCCTGGTACCCAGTGGAGCCTCCGGCGGCCAGTCTACGGTCTCCGACAGGCACTCTGTGAGTGGCACGACACACTGAGGACTACGCTTGCGGCTCTTGGGTTTGCTCCTTCTACTGCTGACCCGTCGCTGTTTCTACGCACCGACACCACTCTGCCGCCGTTCTACGTTCTCGTGTACGTCGACGACTTGGTCTTTGCTACTGCTGACACTGAGGCACTCGCCCACGTGAAGTTGGAGCTGCAGAAGAGACACACGTGCACAGACCTGGGTGAGCTGACAAGCTATCTTGGCTTGCGGATCACCCGGGACAGAGCACAGCGCACCATCACCTTGACTCAGTCACACATGGTGCAGCAGGTCCTTCAGCGCTTCCGCTTCACGTACTCCTCGCCTCAGCCCACTCCTCTGCCTACCGGTCACTCGCTCTCAGCTCTGCCTTTGGATGAGTCCGTAGAGCCGAGTGGCACGTATCCAGAGCTTGTGGGCTGCCTCATGTACCTGATGACCTGCACTCGACCTGACCTTGCATACCCTCTTAGCATCCTAGCACGCTATGTCGCTCCTGGCCGTCACCGGAAGGAGCACATGGATGCCGCTAAGAGGGTGTTGCGCTACTTGTGCAGTATGTCGGGCATGGGGCTTGTGCTTGGAGGACGGCGCGACGTTGTCCTCACTGGACACTCAGACGCTTCTTGGGCTGACGACCAGGCTACGCAGCGGTCGTCTCAGGGTTACACCTTCAGCCTTGGCTCTGGCTCTGTTTCCTGGCGTTCTACACGCTCTTCTTCTGTTCTCAGCTCCAGTTGTGAGGCTGAGATCTACGCCACAGCCATGGCTGCCCAGGAGCTACGCTGGCTCACCTACCTGCTGACCGACCTTGGAGAGCGGCCTCGTTCTCCTCCAGTGCTGTACGTCGACAACCAGGCAGCCATTGCCTTGTGTCAGGAGCACAGACTGGAGCACAGAACGAAGCACATCGCTCTGCGCTACTTCCTTGCTCGAGAGCTGCAGCAGCGTGGTCAGCTTCGTCTCTCGTACGTGGCCACTCGGGCCAACACTGCTGATGTGTTCACCAAGGCGCTTCAGCCTTGTGATCATCAGCGTTTCTGTACTGTTCTAGGCCTTGTGCCTACTCTCCCTCACTTGCTCACTTCTTGACTCTTCTTGTACTGTGATCTCTATATATATATACCTGCATGCTTACACTTGCTAGGTTGTGATCACTGTACCTCTTGTTCTATTATCAAACTGCATGTGAACTGGTCTTGTGACCACTTGCTTGTGCTCGGAATTTGTGTGGTATCCTTGAGATCCACCCTGAGCTTGCTTTGCTTTGCTTTGCTTTGACCGGCCTTGTGACCCCTTGTTCTCCCCCACTTTGCCTATGGGGGTGTGTCAAATGTTATATGGGTTATATTATTGTAGGCTACAGTGGGTTAGCCTATAGGGGGTTCACAACTCTAGGTTTGCATATTTGTACTCTCACTTGTTTCTAGTCCACACTTCTTGTTCTTACTTTCTAACATGGTATTACGAGCCTAGGTAGTAACCTAGGACCGAACGTTGGGCCCACCGTTGGACCGTCGCCGACTTGAGGTCCAGCCCAATGGCGACCTCGTTCTTGGCCGAGCTCCGTATGGTGTCCATGCCGACGTGCGCAAGCCTCGCATGCATCCGGTCCGGCGTCGACTTCGTCTTCGAGACGATCGCCCGCAGGGCCACAACCTCCGGCGTGGTCGACGTCGACCTCGTCGAGCAGGGACGGAGGTCGGTGCAGAGAACACGCCCGGAGTACGTCGCCCGACCGAGCACCTCTCCCGCCGCCGAGACGAGCAGCATCCCGTCGCCATCCTCCTGCAGCTTCACGCCGTGCTCCTTCAGCTGGCCGGACGACAGCAGGTTGGCCCGCACACCCGGGACGTACAGCACGTCGGGGATGAGAACCTGCTTCCCGGCCTTCCCTTGCAGGGCGACGGTACCTCGGCCCTGGACGTCCTGCAGCGCCCCATTGAAGCCGCGCACGTGCTTGATGGAGCCGCTCGGCTGCAGGTCGACGAAGACTTCCTTCGTCCCCATCAGGTGGTGGGAGCAGCCGCTGTCGAGCAGGACCACCGCCGGGTTCGCCTGCACAGCTGCCGCCACCGCCTGAAAGTCCTCTCCGGCCTCCGGCGCCAGCGAGACGGTCGGCTCCACGACGCCGACCAGCGAGCACGACGCCGTCTTGTCGTCCCGCGCCTTGCCGCCAGCAGAGGAGTCGGCGTCCTTCGCCGAGGTCGACTTGGTCGACTGCATCTCCTTGCGCGGCTTGTTCCCTCCTCGACGAGGACGACGACTGCCAGACCTCCCGCGGCCTCCCTTAGCGTCGTCGTCGTCGGAGTCACTGCGGTCGGGGCACTCGAAGGAGAGGTGGTCGGGGTCGCCGCACAGCCAGCACTCCCGACGTCGACTTCCTCCTCCTCGACCGTTATCCTTGGTCGACCTCTTCCTGTCGACCTCCTTGGCCGGCTTCCAGCCACTGCCACCTTCGCCGCCAGACTGTCCGCGCTGCCCTGGTCGACCTCCTTGCTTCGCTGGGGCGACGAAGTTGGCCTGCGCCAAGAGCTCTTGGGACCGCTCTGCCTCCTGCATCGCCTCGTCCTGCAGGATGTACGAGGTCAAGTTGTCCTCGTTGAGTGTCGTCCTCGTGCTCGGCGCCATTGACAGCCGCTTCAGCAGGTTGTAGCTGCTCGAGAGTCCCTGCATGACGTGGGTGACGTACGACGCCGTCGAGTACTGTGCGCCGGCCATCCTGATGGTGGCGAGAAAGCGAGGGCTCCAAGAGGAGAGAGTCGGACGGATCCCGAAGCATCTGAAGGGGGTTGCAATGTAGAAGAGCGGTTGGGTAACCCTGGTGAGGCGCCGGCAGAGGCAGCACCACCAGCAGCAGTAGGAGCAGCAGTAGCTGTAGCTGTAGCAGCTACTCCCACATCTGTAGCAGCAGGTCCCAAATCTTTAGCAGGGAATCCCGAAGCTGTAGCAGGGGTTCCTGAAGCTGTAGCAGGGGTTCCTGAAGCTGTAGCAGGGGTTCCTGAAGCTGTAGCAGCGGGTCCCAAAGCTGTAGCTAGAGGATGTGCTGCATCTGTAGCAGCAGGCCAGTTTCCAAAGTACTTGGAGCAAAGAGGTACTTCCATGTGTGCCACGTCAGCATCCAACGGACCAATGGCAGGCGACGTCAACAGCATGAAACCGGAAAAACACTCTGTGCTGCGCGTCCCGTTATAAGCTTCTCCACTACTGGAGCTCGAGGAGGAGGAGAAGAAACGGAGAGAATAGGCATGGAAGGGACCGACTTCGCGACACTCTGCGATGGTTGGTCTGACTGCTGCTGACGGTTCATTTATCGCTGCTGCTGCTGGCGCTGCTGTTTGCGGTGAATCATCTGCTGACGGTGCTGCTGCTGCTGCTGCTGGAATGGGTACTGGTGCTGACATGGCAGCAGGCATTGCAGAGTCCGCCATTTGGAGTCAAATTTCTAAGAAACGGCAGCGTGAATCAGCTTAGAAATCTCTTTCTCCGACATTTTTTAGTTCTCTTTCTAGAGAACTCTAGAAAGAATCAGCACATTACTGAACCGAAATCTGCAGAGCGAAAAAAAAAAATGATTGGTCTAATCAGATGCGCGAATCTTGAAATCCCAGTCGGCTCCTCCCATTTTTGTAGGTTAGTGTGTGCATATCGAATCCCGCTTATTCTTATCCGCTGCGAAAAACTCCACTTATCGCGAGGCGGAGAGAACGGCGGACGACGACGACAGAGGTGGAGAACGGATTCGTGTTTCGCGGTAAAAAAATGCTACCGGGATCAGTGATAAATGGTTGAAAGTGCAGTAGGATAGGAGGTGGCGGAGAAATGGGTCCGGTGACGGAAATCTTGAGGTTGGCATTTGGAGCAATTCATGATCAGGATTCAAGAGCAGTCGCTGCACAGCCTACAGAGTAACGCGATTTTATCCTCAAAACTGATCAAGTATAAAAATCTTGCATGAAGTACACGGAAAGACATGGTGAACTTAATTCCAAATATGTATGCCTGGCACAAATGGACTACTTCGTTTCACCAAATCATCACGCAACCGACGTACTATCACGTTGCCTCGTAAGCACTCCCCACAGGCAACATGCCTTCCTCCTCAACCTCAATCTCTGTTCTAAAGGGTCCCTTCCTCATTTTCAACTACCGTATCACGCCCCATATCGTGTGTGCATGAAGATACATTTCAGGATGCACCATCATCGAGTAAGATTGTCCATGCCGTTTCGTATGCCACCTTACAGGATACATAAATCCCATCCCCATCCTCATTACCATGATATACCACCACAAACTGATATTTACAAAAGCTACTTGGCACTGGTGGGCCACTCTTTGGTGGCTAGGGCTCGTAACACTGCGGCTGCTGTCCATTGTTTTGCTGCCTTTTTCGAGGGCATTGCTTTACCTTCAACCCGCACCACCGCCGATCTGTCAGCTGCTTTAACCACACAATCCATGCAATAGCCATCACCTAGAGACCTGAAAATAAAATAAATTGTAGTATCAGTAATCGGAACAGCATTAATTTCACTGCTTGGTGGATTAGCCAATGAACGTAATGAGAAGTTAACATACCTGGGAGCACCAGTGCTACCACCAGCAGGTTCACTGCTGGCACCACCATCACCTGCCGCTTCCCAGCCACCACCACCAGCCGCCTCCCAACCACCACCAGCCGCCCCACAGCCACCAACAGCCGCCTCCGAACCACCACCTGCCGCCTCCCAACCACCACCAGATGCCTCCCAACCACCACCAGCCGCCTCCCAACCACCACCAGTCGCCTCCCAACCACCACCAGCCGCCTCCCAACCACCACCAGCCGCCTCCCAACCACCACCAGCCGCCTCCCAACCACCACCAGCCGCCTCCCAACCACCACCAGCCGCCTCCCAACCACCACCAGCCGCCTCCCAACCACCACCAGCCGCCTCCCAACCACCACCAGCCGCCTCCCAACCACCACCAGCCGCCTCCCAACCACCACCAGCCGCCTCCCAACCACCACCAGCCGCCCCCCAGCCACCACCACAAGTAGCACTGGTAGAGTAACCAGCGCTTGAATCACCACCGTTGATTACACCACCATTGCTAGATCCAGCATTCATTGGCACATCCCCACCAACAGCAGCAGCAACAGCAGCAGGAGCAGGAGCAGCAGCAGCAGGAGCAACAGCAGGAGCAGCAGCAGCAGCAGGAGCAGCAGCATCAGCAACAGGAGCAGCGGCAGTAGCAGCCGCAGCAGCAGTAGCAGCAGCAGCAGCAGGAGCAACAGCAGCAACAGCAGCAGCAAGAGCAACAGCAGGAGCAGCAGCCGCAGGAGCAGCAGCATCAGCAACAGGAGCAGAAGCAGTAGCAGCCGCAGCAGCAGCAGCAGCAGCAGGAGCAACTGCAGCAGCAGCAGCAGCAGCAGCAGCAGCAGGAGCAGGAGCAGGAGCAGGAGCAGGAGCAGGAGCAGGAGCAGGAGCAGGAGCAGGAGGAGGAGCAGGAGCTGGAGCAGGAGCAGGAGCAGCAACAGCAGCAGCAGCAGCAGCAGCAGCAGCAGCAGCAGCAGCAGCAGCAGCAGCAGCAGCAGCAGCAGCAGCAGTAGGCACTGCAGGCGCAGCAGCAGTAGCAGGAGCAACAGCAGTAGCAGACTTTCTCCGTGAAGACATTTGAGAAGTAGAAGATATTAATCTCCCACTGTACACAACTCTCCATCGCCGCGCCTGGCACAAGTTATTCAGGGTGGTTACAACAGCCTGACCTGGCTCACAGCCTCGGAACCCACCCAGGGCGTCCGGAGCGGCCGAACCTATCGTAGTTTCCCCTTTTACTGCACCTGCTGCTGCTACTGCTGCTGCTGCTTCCACCCCTTCCACTGCTCCTGCTGCTGCTACTGCTGCTGCTGCTTCCACCCCTTCCACTGCTCCTGCTGCTGCTACTGCTGCTGCTGCTTCCACCCCTTTCACTGCTCCTGCTGCTGCTACTGCTGCTGCTGCTTCCACCCCTTCCTCTGCTCCTGCTGCTGCTACTGCTGCTGCTGCTTCCACCCCTTCCTCTGCTCCAGCAGCTGCTGCCGCCTCCCCCAATCCTGAGTCCCCTCGCTTCCTCTTCTTTCCTCCTGCCATTGCTCCTGCCCCGGCAGCTGCTGTTGCCACCACCATATCTGAGTCCCCTCGCTTCCTCTTCTTTCCTCCTGCCTTTGCTCCTGCCCCGGCAGCTGCTGTTGCCACCACCATATCTGACTTCCCTTGCTTCCTCTTCGTTCCTCCTGCCTTCGTCTTCCCACCATGAACCCGTGCCCTCTTTGCCTCCTCGTACAGCTTCTGGAAGCCCTGCACAGTCTGGGGGGGTTACGGGGAGAGTGGCAAGGAGGCGGGAAGAGGGGAAGAGGGGAGAGTGGAAAGCGGGCGGTGACCATGCGAGCGCCAGCTAGTATGAAGGGCCTCATAGGCCCCAGAACCCGTGCCCTCAAGATAAAATTGTCATTCCAGATCGAGTTAGCTTTCTGCCTCCTGGTACCGCTTCCGGAAGCCCTGCACAGTCTGGGGGGAGGCAAGGAGAAGAGTCGAGGAGGCAGGCAGGAAGAGAGACGGAAGACAAGTGGAAAAGGTCTATCAAGAAGCGAATTTTGAGGCGCCTCAAAATTCACCTCACTGCACGCGGATTTCATACGGAGAGAATTATTGCAGGCAGGAAGAGAGACGGAAGGCAAGTGGAAAAAGGTCTATCAAGAAGCAGGCGGGAATGCACGCGAGCACCCACCCGCTCATTTGAAGGCCCTCAGAGCCCCCAGCTTGCGTCCCCTCTGCCCCCCTGAGGCGCCTCAAAGCTTTTGAGGCACCTCAAAAGCCCCAGCATGCGCGCCCCCTCTGCCTCCTGGTACAGTCAAACTCACATGTGCGTGTGATGAGACCATTTCTGAGTCGACTCAAAAATCGCCCACTCTCCCTCCGGGTACAGTCAAGCTCATATCTCCAACAGCTGATTCCAATGCTTATATAAAGTCACATGACTACATTCACAACAGTACAATCACATACGTTCATCACACTCACCTTGGCTCTCCTCAGCACGCCACCAGCTGCTTCCACCGTTGCTGCAACATCATTCACCCCCCACCCCTCTCCCAGCACCACCCCTTTCACCCCCACTTCCATCACCAACCCCTCCTCCTCCTCCCCTCCTCTACCCCTCACGCCCTTTTCACACAGCCCATCATCCCCTCCTCCACCTTGCACGTCACTTCCACACAACACCCCACCTTCCCTTTCCCCACCCTCCCCATCCTTCCACGCCCCATTCCCATCCCCTTCCCCCTCCGTTTCCCGTTTCCCCCACTCCCGCCCCCACTCCTCCCCACAGTGCTGCCCCCGTTGCTCCGTCTCACCCGCACTCCCCTGAGGCTTGGGCAAGTATTTGGGAGCTGAATCTGTTTTTTTAGAATTCTCAGCAAACAAATTTCCCTGAGGCTTGGGCAAGTAACTGGGGGCGGGGAGGCCAAGGGTGCCACAGAAGAGGAGCAGCGCAGAGGGTGGGTGGAGGAAGAGAGGATGCAGCAGCGGGATAGGGCATAGCCACGAGGAAACCACTTGCCACGTGCGGGTGAGAGGGCATGGGGGATGGCGAGGGGGAGGTGCGCGGGGGTTGAGTGCGGTGGGAGGGGTGTTTGGAGGAGTGGAGTCGAGGAAGACTGCTGCAGTGAGGGCCTTGATGAGATCAGCGACGTCCTGATGGGAGGGGGACAAGGAGGCGAGAGTAGAGCAAAACGTATGAGTGAAGGGAGATATACGGAAAGAGGGAGTGAGGACTGCTGCTGTGAGGGCTTTAGATTAGATCAGAGACGTGCTGTTTTGTGGGGGGGGGGGGGGGGGGGGGGGAAGGGAGGCGCAAGGGGGGTGTCGTGTGTGGAGAAAGGAGGTGAGGGGGGAGAAAGGAGGTGAGGGGGGAGAAAGGAGGTGAGGGAGGAGAAAGGAGGTGAGGGGGGAGAAAGGAGGTGAGGGGGGAGAAAGGAGGTGAGGGGGGAGAAAGGAGGTGAGGGGGGAGAAAGGAGGTGAGGGGGGAGAAAGGAGGTGAGGGGGGAGAAAGGAGGTGAGGGGGAGAAAGGAGGTGAGGGGGGAGAAAGGAGGTGAGGGGGGAGAAAGGAGGTGAGGGGGGAGAAAGGAGGTGAGGGGGGAGAAAGGAGGTGAGGGGGGAGAAAGGAGGTGAGGGGGGAGAAAGGAGGTGAGGGGGGAGAAAGGAGGTGAGGGGGGAGAAAGGAGGTGAGGGGGGAGAAAGGAGGTGAGGGGGGAGAAAGGAGGTGAGGGGGGAGAAAGGAGGTGAGGGGGGAGAAAGGAGGTGAGGGGGGAGAAAGGAGGTGAGGGGGGAGAAAGGAGGTGAGGGGGAGAAAGGAGGTGAGGGGGAGAAAGGAGGTGAGGGGGGAGAAAGGAGGTGAGGGGGAGAAAGGAGGTGCAGGGGGAGAAAGGAAGTGAGGACGGCAACAAAATAAAAGAAAAGCGGAAAAGAGGGGTGAAGTAAGGAGAGGATTATAGAAGTTGAAACAGTGAAGTATGGCTTTGATGCCGGTAAGGTGGTCAGACTTAAGGCAGACTTAAGCCATGCATGCACTTCTTTTGAAAATTCCCAAGAGTGATACAAAAATTGTTAGTCTAGAAGTAACAATGGTGAGTGCTGAAGAATCAATGGGTTTGGAGTATGGTGGTGCTGTGATTCAAATGCTGCGAAGTGGTAATGTTAATTTGAGCAGCATGACTTCTCTGCTAAAGAAGGGTGGATGCTCTTCACTTGGTATACTGACCCTCCCGCGCATGCCTTCTTTGCTGCTACAAATTTTCTCCATCCCCTCGTGTTCCCCCACCTCCTTCCCCTCCCCTTTCCCTTCCTCCTTCCCCATCTCCTTCCCGGCCCCTTTCCCTTCCCCCTTCTGCACCTGTTCCCTAGCTGTTTCACTAACAACACCAGCAGCCTTTGTCAGCCTAGCAGCCCTATCAGCAGCACCTTTCGCCTCACTAGCGGCCCTTTCAGCAGCAGAAGCCCTATCTGCAGCTTTTTCCACCATGGCAGCCCTTTCAGCAGCAGCCCAATCTTCAGCAGCCTTTGCCGCCCGCTGAATCTTGCGCACCAATCGCAGCAGCCCACGGCAAGCCACCAACTGGCAGAACCGCTCCGTGTTGTTCACAACCATGCGCAGGTTCGTCAGCTGGCGCGGGGACGGCCGGGCGGCGTGCTGCGCTGACGTGGCACTGTGCGATGGCATGGCAGCATGCAATGACGTGGCATGTGGTGACGTGGCGGCAGGAGAATGGGCCGCTCCAAATGTTGCTTGCACCATGTGGTGCATGACAAGAAAGTGAAGCACAGCTTCCCCCAGGAACACAAACCGCCTCTTCCTCTTCAACTCCCTCTCCCGTATCGCCTCCCTCAGTATCCCCTCATTTCTAAATCGATACCCCATCGCATTCTGAAGCTCCAGCAGCCAGCCAGCTGTTGCCACGTGGCACCTGGGGTTCGTTCTGGCGGTGGAAGGTTCTAAGAAACTGGGAAAAGTCTGCTGCTGCTGCTGCTGCTGCTGCTGCAGCAAGCATTTTAGAACCTGCACACCCTGCAGCTGCTGCTGTTCCTCCTGCTGTCCCTCCTGGTGTTGCACGCATTCCCCTTCAAGCAGCTTAGGCCGCTTCTCTGGCGGCTGGAGTGGCAGCACGAACGGCTCTCCAGGTGGCTCCGATGCGTGCTTGCTGCCACTCACCCTTTGCTCCAATTCCCGTGCTTCCATCTCACCCCTCAGCAGCTCTCTCGCGCCCTCTGTAGGCCCGTCCAGTGCCATATCTGGCTTTGCTGCATCTCCCACCACCCCTCTCTTTGCCACCCCCTCCGCCTCTCTCCCCATCCACCCCATCTCTCCCCTCAGCAGCTCCCCAACACCCTCCGTAGGCAGGCCCAGCCACCTCAGCACCGGCAGCGCCATGTCAGCGCCGCCGCACCGCCAGCTGGCGCCCACCAAGGCCTCTGCCACGTCAGCCAGCCTGCGCGCTGACTTGGCGGCGGCTGCTGGCTGCGCCCCTGCCAGCGAGGCGAAAGCAGAGTCCAGAAGCGCTTTGGGGCTAGGAGGAGGAAGGTTCTGGGAGGTTGCAGCAGCTGGAGAGGGAGAAGCAGGAAGTGCTGTTGCTTGTGCTTGTGGCTGTGGGTGTGTGAGGGGGTCTGAGGGGGTGTGTGCGGGCGCGTGTGCGAGGGAGTGTGACGGGGTGTTTGAAAGGCTGTCCGAAAACGAGTGTGGTCGGGGGAGCGAGTGAGAGAGGGAGTCAGCCAAAAGCAGCACAGCGTGGGAGGGAGGGACGAGAGGTCCGATCCAATCTGTGGGACTGAAGGGCTTGCGGCGCACAAGGGCGGGCACTCCGGCTTTAAGTGCCAACGCTGCCAGGTGCCTGTTAGAGACTAAATGCAAGCGGCACTCCTGCATGTCATCATATGTCGGCAGGGAGGGGCGGCTGTTAGTGTGTGTAGGGGTGCCTGTACTGCTACACACGCTAGCGGGGTGGAGTGTAGGCAGGGACGCGTTGATTTCACAGTGTGAATCACTCCTCTTCCTCTTCCCACGCTGCTGACGTGGCGCATCTGGTGGCAGGAGCCCGCAGGCAAACAGGTGGCAGGAGGTAGCGAGCTGCACACAGCTGTCACCGAGCACTTCGTCGATCTCATAGTTCCCCACGCCGCTCTCCATGGTGCCGGGGCATGTCAGGGCGCGCAGCAGCTGAGGGGTACGGGGAGAAGGAGAGGGTGGGGTGTTAGTGGGTGGAGAGGGGTGGTTGAGTGGCATCAATGGCAGCACTAAGCTGAAGGAAGTTGTCACCCAACACCTCGCCGCAGTGCCATTCCCCTTGCCATTCCCCTTGCCATTCCCCTTGCCATTCCCCTTGCGATTCCCCTTGCCATTCCCCTTGCCATTCCCCTTGCCATTCCCCTTGCCATTCCCCTTGCCATTCCCCTTGCCATTCCCCTTGCCATTCCCCTTGCCATTCCCCTTGCCATTCCCCTTGCCATTCCCCTTGCCATTCCCCTTGCCATTCCCCTTGTCATTCCCCTTGCCATTCCCCTTGCCATTCCCCTTGCCATTCCCCTTGCCATTCCCCTTGCCATTCCCCTTGCCATTCCCCTTGCCATTCCCCTTGCCATTCCCCTTGCCATTCCCCTTGCCATTCCCCTTGCCATTCCCCCTTGCCATTCCCCTGTCATTCCCCTTGCCATTCCCCTTGCCATTCCCCTTGCCATTCCCCTTGCCATTCCCCTTGCCATTCCCCTTGCCATTCCCCTTGCCATTCCCCTTGCATTCCCCTTGCCATTCCCCTTGCCATTCCCCTGCCATTCCCCTTGCCATTCCCCTTGCCATTCCCCTTGCCATTCCCCTTGCCATTTCCCCTTGCCATTCCCCTTGCCATTCCCCTTTGCCATTCCCCTTGCCATTCCCCTTGCCATTCCCCTTGCCATTCCCCTTGTCATTCCCCTTGCCATTCCCCTTGCCATTCCCCTTGCCATTCCCCTTGCCATTCCCCTTGCCATTCCCCTTGCCATTCCCCTTGCCATTCCCCTTGCCATTCCCCTTGCCATTCCCTTGTCATTCCCCTTGCCATTCCCCTTGCCATTCCCCTTGCCATTCCCCTTGCCATTCCCCTGTCATTCCCTTGCCATTCCCCTTGCCATTCCCCTTGCCATTCCCCTTGCCATCCTTGCCATTCCCCTTGCCATTCCCCTTGCCATTCCCCTTGCCATTCCCCTTGCCATTCCCCTTGCCATTCCCCTTGCCATTCCCCTTGCCATTCCCCTTGCCATTCCCCTTGCCATTCCCCTTGCCATTCCCCTTGCCATTCCTTGCCATTCCCCTTGCCATTCCCCTTGTCATTCCACTTGTCATTCCCCTTGCCATTCCCCTTGTCATTCCCCTTGCCATTCCCCTTGCCATTCCCCTTGCCATTCCCCTTGCCATTCCCCTGTCATTCCCCTTGCCATTCCCCTTGCCATTCCCCTGTCATTCCCCTTGCCATTCCCCTTGCCATTCCCCTTGCCATTCCCCTTGCCATTCCCCTTGCCATTCCCCTTGCCATTCCCCTTGCCATTCCCCTTGCCATTCCCCTTGCCATTCCCCTTGCCATTCCCCTTGCCATTCCCCTTGCCATTCCCCTTGCCATTCCCCTTGCCATTCCCCTTGCCATTCCCCTTGCCATTCCCCTTGCCATTCCCCTTGCCATTCCCCTTGCCATTCCCCTTGCCATTCCCCTTGCCATTCCCCTTGCCATTCCCCTTGCCATTCCCCTTGCAATTCCTTTCACAAGTCCCCTCACACTCACACCGATACTGCCTCACAAGGAATCGCCGAATATCCCGAGCGCAGGCAGTCAAGTCGGTAGAGCAGCGAGGGGAGCAGCGAGGCAAAGTGCATGTGCTTTGCATAAGAGCAACTCACATCAATAGCAGGAAAATCCGGTGCCTGCTGCCCCTGCCGCGCACAACCGTACTGCCGCACAAGGAACCGCCTGATGTCCCGGGCAGTGAGGAGGCAGTCAAGTCGGGAGAGCAGCGAGGGGAGCAGCGAGGCAAAGAGCACGTGCTGCATGGGAACCACCGGCACCAGGAGCTCCAACGGGAGGTATGACGTCTGCTGCCCTCTGCCTTCTTCCTCTTTCTTCTGCTCCCTAGCTGCCTCCTCCTTCCCCGTGCCTTGCTGCTGCTGCTGCTGCTGCTGCCGCTGCTGCCCCGTCACGTGCTGCAGTGGCAACACCGGCACCAGGAGCTCCAACGGGAGGTATGACGTCTGCTGCCCTCTGCCTTCTTCCTCTTTCTTCTGCTCCCTAGCTGCCTCCTCCTTCCCCGTGCCTTGCTGCTGCTGCTGCTGCTGCTGCCGCTGCTGCCCCGTCACGTGCTGCAGTGGCAACACCGGCACCAGGAGCTCCAACGGGAGGTATGACGTCTGCTGCCCTCTGCCTTCTTCCTCTTTCTTCTGCTCCCTAGCTGCCTCCTCCTTCCCCGTGCCTTGCTGCTGCTGCTGCTGCTGCTGCTGCTGCTGCCGCTGCTGCCCCGTCACGTGCTGCAGTGGCAACACCGGCACCAGGAGCTCCAACGGGAGGTATGACGTCTGCTGCCCTCTGCCTTCTTCCTCTTGCTTCTGCTCCTGCTGCTCCTGCTGCTCCCTTGCTACAGCCTCCTGGGCTACAGCCATGTCTGCTACAGCCATGTCTGCTACAGCCGTGTCTGCTACAGCCGTGTCTGCTACAGCCGTGTCTGCTACAGCCGTGTCTGCTACAGCCGTGTCTGCTACAGCCGTGTCCTCTACAGCCATGTCTGCTACAGGTGTATCAGCGCTGGCAGGTACAGGAACCTGCTCCTCTAGCCCTAACTGGACAGCCCGGTTGACGAGATCCATAGTGTCCACTGAGAGAGGGAGGATGCAAGGTGGCGAAGAGCAGGGGAGGGGGTTTGCAGGTTTTGACTCCTGAGGCCCCGCAAAAATCATCAGACTGCACTGATTGGATGGCCCTGTTGACAAGTTGAAGTGTCCACTGAGAGAGGGGTGATGCAAGGGGAATGCAAGAGGGATTAGAAAAGGGGATACAGGGAGGGGAAGGAGGACAAGCAAGGAGCGATAGGAGGAACATGCGAAGGTGGGGCAGGGGTTTCTCAGATAGGCAGACGAGCAGGGGGGAGGGAAAGGTTGGGGAGCGGTTTCTCGCAGTGGTATGTCTGGGTGGAGTCAGCAACAGATGGCATGGCTCAAAGTATGAGATGAGGTGGCTTTTGAGTCGACTCAAAAGTCACCTGGTTTCTTGCAATGTTATGTCTAACAAGATGGCTGGCTGGAGTCAGCAACAGATGGCATGGCTCAAACCATGAATGAAACAAGCACAAGCAAGCAGGAGCAGGAAAGCGAAACGGGGCATTGTAGTATGCACTTCTAGAGACACATACACAGACGCAAAACATCACTTACTTTTCGGCAGTGCCTGCAGACGCAGCAGAGCATTTTTCGAGAGGTCTCAAAACTCTTCTTTTTTCACGTGGCTTCACAAAGAATCACTTACATTTTGGCAGCGTGTGCAGACGCAGCAGCGCATTGCACGGCTCTGGCTTGAGCTGGCACGCAGTGAACAGAGGCTGGTCGGGGTGCTGCAGCGACATACCGTACCTGGCACAGAGGCAGCGGTGTGTCAGGGTTATGGGTGCGTAAGTGTAAGGGTGTAAGGGTGTGGTGTGGGTGTTCTGTGCAGCCCCTGGCTCTGGCTTCAACTGGCACACAGCAAAAAGAGGCTGGTCGGGGTGCTGCAGCAATATGTTGTACCTGGCATGGGGGGATAGGGGTGTGGGGTTTACACCAGATGTGAATGCAAGGCCAGGCCCTCACCCCCATGCCCCACACGCTACCCCATGCAAAGCTCACTCACATGGCAAGCAGGGGGGATAACGGCACTCACCAATCTGAAAAGTGCTGCTGAAACGCCCATGCCGTTCGCCCCTCAGGGTCCCTTCCCAGCAGCTGGTACAGCAGACCGGAATGCACCGCATATGCCACCATGCCGTTGAGCTCATGCTCCTTCACAGGCCCGCAAGCAGTCACGAGCAGAGGCGTGGTAACAGGGGCATTGCTTGGAACAGCAGCATCCGCATATGCCACCATGCCGTTGAGCTCATGGTCCTTCACAGGCCCGCAAGCAGTCATGAGCACAGGCATGCTGGCAGGGGCATTGTGAGTGGCGTTCGGAACAGCAGTAGCAGCAGCATTCACAGGCCCGTGAGCAGTCATGAGCAGGGGCGTGGTGTCAGGAGCACGAGCAGGCACAAGCAGGGGTGTGGTAGCAGCAGTGACAGGGGCATTGTTTGGAACAGCATCATCCGCACATGCCACCATGCCATGGAGCTCGTCATGCTCCTCCACAGGCCCGCGCGCAGCCATGAGCAGAGGCGTGCTGCCAGGGGGATTGTGAGTGGCGTTCGGAACAGCAGTAGCAGCAGCATTCACAGGCCCGTGAGCAGTCATGAGCAGGGGCGTGGTGTCAGGAGCACGAGCAGGCACAAGCAGGGGTGTGGTAGCAGCAGTGACAGGGGCATTGTTTGGAACAGCATCATCCGCACATGCCACCATGCCATGGAGCTCGTCATGCTCCTCCACAGGCCCGCGCGCAGCCATGAGCAGAGGCGTGCTGCCAGGGGCATTGTGAATGGTGTTCGGAACAGCAGCAGCAGCAGCAGCAGCAGCAGCAGCAGCAGCAGCAGCAGCAGCAGCAGCAGCAGCAGCAGCAGCAGTAGCAGCAGGAGCAGCAGCTGCAGCAGCAGCATTGGCATCAGCATAATCAGCAGCTGCAGTAGCAGCAGCAGCAGCAGCAGCAGCACCACCACCACCACCACCACCACCACCACCACCACCACCACCACCACCACCACCACCACCACCACCACCACCACCACCACCACCACCACCACCACCACCACCACCACCACCGCCGCCACCATCAGCAGCAGCGGCACTGGTATCAGCAGCAGCAGCAGCAGCAGCAGCATTGGTATCAGCAGCAGCAGCACCATTACTGTCAGCAACAGCATCAGCACCATCAGCAGCACCAGCACCATCAGCAGCACCAGCACCATTACCGTCAGCAACAGCATCAGCACCATCAGCAGCAGCAGCAACATTACCGTCAGCAACAGCATCAGCACCATCAGCAGCAGCAGCACCATTACCGTCAGCACCATGAGCACAGCCATTAGAAGTGGCACTACGGCCTCCCAGAGACACCACCCTGTCCACCGTCTCCCAGTCAATCCTCCCCATCAACATGCGCATCATATCAACACCCACTCCCCTGTCTGCTGCTGTCCCTCTTCCTCCTTCTCCTCTGTCTCCTCCTCCTTTCGTGCATTCCGTACCTTCCTTTACTCCTCCTACCAAGCAGGGCAGCACGAGGCAGTAGTGGGATGCGGTCCAGAAGGCTTCAAAGTGGCGCACAGCGGTGCTGATGGGCGTGGGCTTGGTACCAGCAGCAGCGTCGGTCGTAATGACAGCTGCTGCTGCTGCCGATCCAGCTGTAGCAGCAGCAAATTCGGCTGTAGCAGTAGCTTGGGCGAGGATGGGAGCATAGTCCATGAGGTCTCTTCGATCCAACGCCATGCCGAACAAACGCATGTGGTAGCACATGGCGCTGGCCAGCTGAAGATCATTCGAGAAAACGCGGGAGACATGGGAGAGGAGGAAGAAAGGGGAGAAGGGGGAGACGGGGGAGTCTGGGGAGAAGGCGGAGAAGGCAGAGAATGGGGAGAATGGGGAGAATGAGGGGAATCGGGAGAATGAGGGGTGCATGCATATGGGTGCGGAGCTGACGCACTCTGACACCTGCATGAGCTGAACCTGAACCACCTGAACCACCTGAATCACCTGAATCGCCTGAACCACCTGAATCACTTGAACCACATGAATCACCTGAACCACCTGAATCAACCGAACCGCCTGAATCGCCTGAACCACCTGAATCGCCTGAACCACCTGAATCACCTGAACCACCTGAATCGCCTGAACCACCTGAATCGCCTGAACCACCTGAATCACCTGAACGACCTGGAAAACCACATGGATCGCCTGAACCACCTGAATCGCCTGAACCACCTGAATCACCTGAACCACCTGAATCAACCAAACCACCTGAATCGCCTGAACCACCTGAATGACCTGAACCACCTGAATGGTCTGAGCGCGACTGACCGTTTGAGGCGAGAAAGCGAGGGCTCCAAGTGGAGAGAGTCGGACCGACCCCGAAGCAACCGAAGGGGATTGCGATGAAGAGCGGTGGGAAAGCCCTGGTGAGGAGCCGACAGATGCAGCACCAGCAGCAGCAGGAGCAGCAGCAGTCAAGCCAGCAGCTTGTCCCGAAGCTGTAGCAGCAGGCACTGAAGCTGTAGCAGGAGCATAAGTTCCATCTGTAGCAGCAGAGGAAGCTCCAAAGTACTTGGAGCACAGCGGGACTTCCATGTGTGCCACGTCAGCATCCAGCGGACCAATGGCAGGCGACGTCAGCAGCATGAACCCGGAAAAGCACTCTGTGCTGCTCGTCCCGTTATAAGCATCTCCTTTACCGGAAATTGAGGTGGCAGAGAAAAAACGGAGAGAATAGGCATGGAAGGGACCGATGCTGGGACATGCTGGGGTGGTAGGTCTGGCTGCTGCTGATGGTTCTGTTGCTGCTGCTGATGGCTCAGCTGTTTGTGGTGAATCATTCGCTGACAATGCTTCTGCTTCTGCTGCTGCTGCTGCTGATGCCGCTGCTGCGGGAATGGGTACTGGTGGTGAGATGGCAGCAGTCGTTGCAAAGTCCGCCATTTGGAGTCAAATTTCTTAGGAACGGCAGCGTGAAGCTTGCTGAATGACAATGCGATCTTTGTAGCAATCTAGAGAACTCTATGAAGAATTAGCTCATTACTGAATCAGCTCATTACTGAATCAGCTCATTACTGAATGAGCTCATTACTGAATCAGCTTGAATCAGCTCATTACTGAATCGGCTCATTACTGAACCGCACACTCTGCAGAGCGAAGGCAACATTTAGCTCAGTTTAATCAAATGCGCGCCTCTTGAAATCCCAGTCGGCTCCCTGTCGCTTTTTTTAGGTTAGCGTGGGGTTACAGGCGTGTAGCTTCACTTAACTGCCTATCAAATCGCGCGTACTCTTACACGTCGCGAAATTTCCCCTTATCGACGGCAACGGCGGATGACGACGACGGAGGTCGAGCATGGATTCGTGTTTCGCGGCAAAAACATTGCTTCTGTAGTCAGTGATAAGAGAGGTAATGGTTGCAAGCGCTTCGGGGGTGGAGGCGAAATGCGTTCTGTGGGTGACGGAGATTTCGAGGTTTCTGGCATTGGGCGGAATTCATGATCAAGCGGTGCTGTGACCCCACAAGCATTCGCTACGGACTACCGCAATTTTGACCACAAAATTGTACACTCGTATTTTCTTTCTATCAATCAACCTCGTGCATAAAGTACACGGATAGACATGGTAAGCTTCACTCCCAATTGGTACCGGTACAAGTGGCATGCATGGACTCTTTTATTTCACTCAGGATGAACAACTCCCATCCCGCAACCAGCGCACGGTTGTGTCACTTCACCCAAAATGAACAACAATCCTCATTTGCAACAACACTTCTTCTCCAACCTGTTCTACGGCAAGTGCCCATTTTTCCACTCAATTTCAACACACACTTCCGCCTTCACGATGTGCACGGAAATAAGAGCGTGTTCCTACACCTCGTACCAAGACAACCTCGTATCAGGCTCACGCTGAAAATTCCCCTAAACCTCAAACCTCTCACTAGTTTTACCAGGCAAAAGGTACATTCTTGATACGAGGTTTCCTGATATGAGGCCGTAGGAACACGCCCTAAGACTGTCCATGCCGTCATTTGCCACCTTACAATTCTACATAGATTCAATCCCCATCCCCAGTTTGTATACCATCACAAGCTGATATTTACACACTACTTGGCACTGGCCACTCTTTGGCGGCTAAGGCTCGTAACACCGCGGCTGCTGTCCATTGTTTTGCCGCCTTTTTCGAGGGCATTGCTTTACCTTCAACCCGCACCACTGTCGATCCGTCAGCTGCTTTCACCACACAATCCATGCAATGGCCGTCACCTAGAAACCTGGAAATAAAAGGGATGGTATTAGTAAGCGGAACAACAATAATTTCACTGCATGGTGGATCAGCCAATGAATGTAACGAGATGAGAAGTTATTACACAGTTACATACCTGAGAGCACCAGTGTTGCCACCAGCAGGTTCACAGCTGGCACCACCAGCCGCCCCCCACTCACCACCAGCCGCCCCCCACTCACCACCAGCCGCCTCCCAACCACCACCAGCCGCCCCCCACTCACCACCAGCCGCCCCCCACTCACCACCAACCACCCCCCAGCCACCCCCAGCCGCCCCCCAGCCACCATCAGCCTCCCCCCAGCCACCACCACAAGCAGCACCGGTAGAGCCACCAACGTTTGAATCACCACCGTTGATTACACCACCATTGCTAGATCCAGCATTCATTGGCACATCCCCACCAGCAGCAGCACCAGCAGCAGCAGCAGCAGCAGGAGCAGCAGCAGGAGCATCACCAGGAGCATCAGCAGGAGCAGGAGTAGGAGCAGCAGCAGCAGACACTGCAGGCGCAACAACAGTAGCAGGAGCAGCAGCAGCATCAGGAGCATCAGGAGCATCAGCAGAAGCAGGAGAATCAGGAGAATCAGGAGCAGGAGCATCAGGAGCAGGAGAATCAGAAGCAGGAGCATCAGCAGCATCAGGACCAGGAGCAGGAGCAGGAGCAGGCGCTGCAGGTGCTGCAGGCGAAGCAGAGGCGCACCCAACAGTGGACCCACCTTGGGCGGATCCCCTCCAATCTACTAAGACTTTTGAGACGTCTCAAAAGCCCCACCTGCTGCGCATCCATTCCAAACCACAGCTGCCTTGTTCCTTGTATTTGGACATACTATTCTCTCACTGTACACTACCGTCCATCGCTGCGCCCGGCACAAGCTATTCAGGGTATTTATAACCATCGGACCTGGCTCACAGCCTCGGAACCCATCCAGGGCGTCCGGAGCGGCCGGACCTTTAGTAATCTCCCCTTTATCTGCACCTACTGCTGCTGCTGCTGCTGCTGTTTCCACCCCTTCCACTGCTCCTGCTGCTGCTGCTGCTGCTGCTGCTGCTGCTGCTGCTGCTGCTGCTGCTGCTGCTGCTGCCGCCCCTTCCTCTGCTCCAGCAGCTGCTGCCAACCCCAATCCTGACTGCCTGCGCTTCCTCTTTCTTCCTCCTGCCTTCGTCTTCCCACAAGTACGCTCGCTTCTCCCTCCAATCCCAACAGAACCCTCGACAGAACCCTCAGGCACAACTCCCTCCACACCTGCCGCACCTTCTCCTCCTCCTGCCTCCTTCCCTTCCAACCTTTCCTCTCCTTTCTCCTCTCCTTCCTCCTCGTGTTCCTCCACCTGAGTCTCCCATGTGGCCCTCATAGCGCCTACCACCCGTTTCCCTTCTGCTTCCTCGAAGAGCTTCCGGAAGCCCTGCACAGTCTGGGGGGAGGCAAGGAGAAGAGGCGAGGAGGCGAGGAGGCGAGGAGACGGGGGACAAGTGGGCAGAAAGGTCATTGCAGCATCAGATGGTACTGCTGAGAGCCCTGTTTATGCCCCTGATGCTGGCTCTCCGAGGGATGACTGCCCCTGCCTTCTGGTACTGCCGGCAGACGTCCTGTACAGTCTGGGGGGAAGAGAAGAGGTGCGGAGGTGGGAGGAGAGGAGAGGGGACAGCAGGAGGAGAAAGCATGTGGAAATTCATGCGAGCACCTGGTTATTCGAAGGCCCTCAAGGGCCCCAGCAAGCGAGCTGACTTATGAGTCGACTCAAAAGTCACCTTATGGCATATGATTCCATACCACTGCTCATATGAGTTCATGGCCTTCATGGCCTTTTGAGGCGCCTCAAAAGGCCCTCATGGCCCCGAGCAGCAAGCGCGCCCCCTCTGCCTCTTGGTACAGTCGAACTCACATCTCCAGCAGATGATTCCATATCACTGCTCATATGAGCTCACTTCATTACATTCACACCAGTACAATCACGTACACTCATTGCACTCACCGCGTTACATCTTCACACTGCTACAGTCACATCACATATGTTCATCACACTCACCTTGGCTCTTCTCAGCACGCCAGAGGCTGCTTCAATTGTTGCTGCCGCGCCATCCATCCCCCACCCCTCTCCCAGCACCACTCCTCTCACCTCCACTTCCATCACCACCCCTTCCTCCCCCTCCCCCTCCTCACCCACCCCCTCCCCCACTCCTCTTCCCCGCACGCCCTTTACACACAGACCAGTTTCCACTCCCTCTTCCCCATCCTCTTCTCCACCACCTCCCACGTCTCTTCCACACGCCAACCCTCCGTCCCTTTCCCCACCCTCCTCGTCCTTCCACACCTCATCCCCATTCCCTTCCCCCTCCGTTTCCCGATTCCCCCACTCCCGCCCACACTCCTCCCCCCACTGCTTCCCCCCAACCCCACTCAAAACACCCCTCATTCATCTCACAGTACACTGCCACTCGCTTCTTCCTTAATGCATTCAGGTGCACTGGCGTCGCTTGTGTGCATTTCCAAAGGTTTCCTTCCTGTGTTCTCTCTCTCTCCTCTTCCCGTCTTCCCTCGACTGCCACCAGGTTCCGCACCGACCTAGCGAGTGAGCCGCCCAGGCTAGAGGCACACGAGGCGAGCTCTCCTTTCCATTCCTGTGTTTCCTCCACTTTCCTCTCTCCCTCTGTCTCTCTCTCTCCTCTTTCCGTCTTCCCTTGACTGCCACCAGGTTCCGCACCGACCTAGCGAGTGAGCCGCCCAGGCTAGAGGCACACGAGGCGAGCTCTCCTTTCCATTCCTGTGTTTCCCCCACTTTCCTCTCTCCCTCTGTCTCTCTCTCTCCTCTTCCCGTCTTCCCTTGACTGCCACCAGGTTCCGCACCGACCTAGCGAGTGAGCCGCCCAGGCTAGAGGCACACGAGGCGAGCTCTCCTTTCCATTCCTGTGTTTCCCCCACTTTCCTCTCTCCCTCTGTCTCTCTCTCTCCTCTTTCCGTCTTCCCTTGACTGCCACCAGGTTCCGCACCGACCTAGCGAGTGAGCCGCCCAGGCTAGAGGCACACGAGGCGAGCTCTCCTTTCCATTCCTGTGTTTCCCCCACTTTCCTCTCTCCCTCTGTCTCTCTCTCTCCTCTTCCCGTCTTCCCTTGACTGCCACCAGGTTCCGCACCGACCTAGCGAGTGAGCCGCCCAGGCTAGAGGCACACGAGGCGAGCTCTCCTTTCCATTCCTGTGTTTCCCCCACTTTCCTCTCTCCCTCTGTCTCTCTCTCTCCTCTTCCCGTCTTCCCTTGACTGCCACCAGGTTCCGCACCGACCTAGCGAGTGAGCCGCCCAGGCTAGAGGCACACGAGGCGAGCTCTCCTTTCCATTCCTGTGTTTCCCCCACTTTCCTCTCTCCCTCTGTCTCTCTCTCTCCTCTTTCCGTCTTCCCTTGACTGCCACCAGGTTCCGCACCGACCTAGCGAGTGAGCCGCCCAGGCTAGAGGCACACGAGGCGAGCTCTCCTTTCCATTCCTGTGTTTCCCCCACTTTCCTCTCTCCCTCTGTCTCTCTCTCTCCTCTTTCCGTCTTCCCTTGACTGCCACCAGGTTCCGCACCGACCTAGCGAGTGAGCCGCCCAGGCTAGAGGCACACGAGGCGAGCTCTCCTTTCCATTCCTGTGTTTCCCCCACTTTCCTCTCTCCCTCTGTCTCTCTCTCTCCTCTTCCCGTCTTCCCTTGACTGCCACCAGGTTCCGCACCGACCTAGCGAGTGAGCCGCCCAGGCTAGAGGCACACGAGGCGAGCTCTCCTTTCCATTCCTGTGTTTCCCCCACTTTCCTCTCTCCCTCTGTCTCTCTCTCTCCTCTTTCCGTCTTCCCTTGACTGCCACCAGGTTCCGCACCGACCTAGCGAGTGAGCCGCCCAGGCTAGAGGCACACGAGGCGAGCTCTCCTTTCCATTCCTGTGTTTCCCCCACTTTCCTGTATCTTGCGCACCAATCGCAGCAGCCCACGGCAAGCCGCCAGCTGGCAGATCCGCTCCGTGTTGTTCACAACATTGCGCAGAATCGTCAGCTGGTGCGGGGACGGGCGGGCGGTGTGCAATGATGTGGCAGTCTGCGATGATGTGGCATGTGGTGACGTGGCGGCAGGAGAATAGACCCCCACAAATGTTGCTTGCACACAGTAGTGCATCACAAGAAAGTACAACACAGCTTCCCCCAGGAACACAAACCGCCTCTCCCACTTCAACTCCTCCTCCCGTATCGCCTCCCTCAGAATCCCGTTATTTCTGAATCGATACCCCATCGCATCCTGCAGCTCTGACAGCCAACCAGCTACTGACACTTGGCGGGGCCTGGGGTTCATCCTGGCACCGGAAGGTTCCAGGAAGTTGGGCTGAGACTGCTGCTGCTGCTGCTGCTGCAACGTGCATTCTGGAACCTGCACACCCTGCTCCTGCACACCCTGCTCCTGCACACCCTGTTCCTGCGCACCCTGCAACTCCTGCACATCCTGTGCACTCTGCGTACCCTGCACCTCCTGCACACCCTGCTCCTGCACACCCTGCACCTCCTGCACACCCTGCGGCTCCTGATGATGCTGATGCACGCACTCCTCTTCTTGCAGCTTGCGGCGTTTCTCGGGTGGCTGAAGCGGCAGCAGGGACGGCTCTGGAGTCGACTCAAAAGGCAGCTTGGGTCGCTTCGCTGGAGGTTGAAGCGGCAGCAGGGACAGCTGTCTACTTTGCTCCCACGCGTGCTTGCTGCCACACACTCTTTGCTCCGCTTCTTCTGGTGCTGCCACTATTACTGTCTCTCTTGTTCCTGCTGCTGCTGCTGCTGCTGCTGCTGCGTTTGTTCCAAGTGCTCTAGCTGGCATTGCTGCAACTGCCGGTACCCCTCCTTCCACCACCTCCTCCGCCCCTCTCCCCATCCACGTCATCTCACCTCTCAGCAGCTCCCGAACGCCCTCCGTAGGCAGGCCCAGCCACCTCAGCACTGGCAGCGCCATGTCAGCGCCGCCGCACCGCCAGCTGGCGCCCACCAGGGCCTCCGCCACATCAGCGAGCGGCATCTTGGCCGGCTTGCACGCTGACTTGGCGGCAGCTGCTGCCTGCGCCGCTGCCAGCGAGGCGAAAGCAGAATCCAGAAGGGCTTTGGGGCCAGGAGGAGGTCACCCTTCCCCGTCTCAAGGAAAGGCTTATCCTACGAACCGTCCAGCTAGCAAACCATGCCCTCCCACCACCCACCAAGGGCATTCGCGGAATGGCCTCAGCCCCCCGCATCATCGTGTTCGTCTGGCACGCCTTTCTCCCCGTCTGTTAGTGCTGCTGCTGCTGCTGCTTCTGTAACTGCCAGTACGCCAGCGTGCATGATTCACCAATAATTGACATCTGTACCTTGCAGTTACTTTCGAAATGCTTGACGCCGTGCGGGGCAATCACCGCCACTGACACCATGGAATGACAGTACTCGATGTTTTACGCCGCACTGGTGCCGAACTCGTGGGTGGAATCTTGAGCTACAAGACCGAAAAATGAAGCAAGCGGGGTGACGGTAAGAGCACATGTAGAGTACTGTATAGCCAGTTGAGGTGCGCGAAAGCCGGCGTGGCCGGTGGCTCGGTATGGAAGGCACCTGGCTAAGCTGGGAGGGATGCCGCACACTTGCGTCTCTACATTTGGTACAGAGGTGAACTAGCTGTATGTCCATTCACTACAGCTGGGTGTGAGAACGAGCCTTAGAAAACCCTACTGCCATACACCTCTAGTGAATCATACTGGGAAACCTCCCTAGAGCTGTATGTTTACGAGCCGGAAACCTACCCTGCTGTCTTGGGCTCCCGTCTTGTATGCTTGGACAAGAAGGCGATCTTGGCTGCTGCTGGCGTGGCGTGGTGAACGTTGGCAAGATCGAGGGTTGACCCAGCCCAAAATCGAACCGTAACCGCACAGTAAACCTGTGAAACCTACGGAACCAGCTTTCACCTCCTTCGAAACTATCTCGAGGGTGTGGAAGGAACCTCTCAGGGCGCATTCCTAGCTCGTGTCTGACATCAGGTCAAACACGAAGTGGAGGACCGGAAGACCCGAAGTGGCTCGGGGTTGGGGCAAAACAACATTCAGAATAGGCAAATCAGAGACTAAGGGCCTATGACCTGATGTCAGACACTAGCTAGGAATTCACCCTCAATATATTACCCAAGATTGAAAGACACCCTTCTTGAGTGCAGGAGGGTTACAAGGAATAAAAAATGCACTGCGGTGGTTGTCAACAAAATAGAGAGTTGGGGGGTATAGATGGGGTTTCCAGCGAAACAAAATACCCAATGTCGGGTTTTATAGACACGTTACGATGCCCAAAATATCCCTCTATACTTGTAAACATTTTGGGTGACTAACCCCAGGTCACCAGCTGTTGAAATCTAGAAGTGCAGTTTGCAATGTACGTGTTATGAGTGAACATTTTGGGTGACTAACCCCAGGTCACCAGCTGTTGAAATCTAGAAGTGCAGTTTGCAATGTACGTGTTATGGTTAAGGTTAAGGTTATATAAGGTCGTAACCGTGTACAGCAAAAACATAGAGCAGCTAGAAATATGGTCTACACAACCAACAGCCCAGAGGCGTACGTAGGAAAACACGTTATTCCTCTATCCATTGGATAGCCGCGAGCCCAGCTGGGGAGCTCTCTATGCTAAAAATAAAAGGGGGGAGGGCTAGGGGGGGTGGAAGGGGTCCCCAAGCAACCAGGAAGAGCGGAGGTCCGGGTGGATAGAGGGGGTTCCGTTGTGGTCGAAGACGAGGAAGCGAAGTCGGGTGGCCAGCTTAATACGAGCGGCTGAGCGTAGTTGTTTCTTCACTGATTGTTTCTTCCTGCGCCATAAGAAGATTTTGAAAGCGATGAGGAACTTTGCCAGTATGAGCTGGAGGATCTCAAACCGTGAAGAGGGCGAGTCTTGGAACTTGTGTTCACAGCGTGCGTTCCAAATAGCTTTGGTAGATGCTCCAACCAGAAGGCTCCAGGGGGCCACCTGGCCGGCTCTGGAGGAGAGCGGGAAGAGCAGGAGCTCAGGAAGAGGAGAGCAGTGGAGATGGCGACGAGCGACGGAGGAGAGGGCGGAAATCACTGCGGGAGCCACCCCACACTCGTAAAAGATGTGGGGGATAGTCTCTGTGGGTGCGACAAGGCAGAGTGAACAAATCCCGCGGTCAGCGGCGAAGTTGAAGCGCGAACCCGAAGGAAGAGCGCGAGTGTAGAACCGGTACAAGACGTCGCGCTGGAGGCTGGGTTGCTCCTGTAAAAAGTCGTGGGAGAGGTCGGGGAGGAGGGGAGGAGGAGCGGGGAGGACGTGGATCCAGCGGGCGGCGTGGTCGAGGGGAAGCTGAGTATAGAGCCGGCGACGGATGTCAGCTACGCTGGGGCAGCCGTCCCGA